ATGTCCCAAAAGTATACTTCCACGCCGCATATTTTCCCATTGCGTCGCATTTTTTTCGGGCAAAACTGTCTCATCGTCATTACCTCCCACCTTTTTCAAGTTATGGCGCAAGGACATTCATTGTCGGACTTCGAAAAAGGGCAGATTATCGCAAAGAAGGCTCAAGGACTGTCGAACCGTCAAATCGCAAGGGAGTTGGGCCGCAGTCATCATGTTATCAATAATTTTGTCAGGGAACCCGCAGCTTAATCAAGAAGAGCTCTGGGCGTCCTACTTTGCTCTCTGATCGGGAAAAGCGCCGTACTTTGAGAGGAGCATCAGATTCTACAACGTCGTTATCCGGAAATAAGATCAAGTTTGAGGCTTAACGTCTCAAAGGAGACTGTTCGGCGTGTCTTAAAAAAGTCCGAGTTTTTTCTCCGGAGGAAAATGAGGAAGGCACCGCTTCTGACGGAACACCATCGCGAAAACTGAATTGCCTCCGCTAAAAGATGCTGCCAAACTAAATGGAATTATGGCAGTGGTGCCCTACTGCTTATCTGTCTTGTCTTTTCAGTTTTTTTTCCTCCAGGTCGTGTTTTCTGATGAGAAAAATTCAACTGCGATGGTCCAGACGGAAATCGATCCTACTGGCACAGCATGTTAGGAAAGAGAAGCTCCATTTTTCCAGGCGGAACTTCAGAGGAGGTGGTGTTATGGTCTGCGGCTGCCTTCACATCAATGGAACGTCTAAAGTTGTGCTTCGTATCGAAGAAAATGAATTCTTCCGACTATGTAAACGTCATGCGACGAGGTCTGCTTCCTTTCTGGCGAAGGATTCGGCATGAAAGTCCTGTTTTCATGCAAGACAATGCACCAATTCATGTCAGCCGAAGCACTCGAGCGTGGTTCAGTCGTCATCAAATCGCTCTTTTGCCCTGGCCAGCGAATAGCCCCGACTTAAACCCAATCGAGAATGTGTGGGGCTTCATGGTACGCAAGATCTATGCGAACAATGCACGATTCCACAATGTCCGTGAGCTCAAGAAGTCAATAATTGATGCATGGCAGCATGTCGACCGAAAACTGATTTAAAACCTCTATTCGAGCATAGACAACCGCATTTTCCAACTTATTCAAAGGAATGGGGCTGCAATAGATTATTGAATTAACAATTTATTCATTTTGTTGTACACTTGTTGTTTTATGAATCGATTTGTTTAGTGGAACTATACTTTTGGGACATTGTCAAAGTGAGAAATTTTCAAAAAATAAAGAAAATTGAAGTTGCTCTGGAAAGTTAGTTCTCGGTGTTGGCATGCAAATTGGCACTGGTAATTACCACATTTTCTATCTAGAGGCTTTTTTGAAAACGTCGTGTAGGGCGGGATATTGTGAGATTTATGGGTGGAACTATACTTTGGTACGCAGTGTAGGTATCGATTTAATAAGCAGGCGTTCATAGTTCGCGACAGCAGCGGCGATCGCGGCGATCGTCGGTGCATGGCAGCGCGCGCCCCAACGCTATTACTTGCGCTCCGAAGGCTTCTGGGGGTAAGCGGCTCAATTTTATGCTTTTTTCCTTTGACTGCAATTTCCTTAGGTACTGAAGCTTGGTTTGACACAAGGGAAGGCGAGCCCAGCTAATCGCTTTTGTTTTCTATTTTCTTTCTTATTTAGGATAGAAATGAGCAAAAAGCGCGAGAGCTTCACTTGAAGGTACGTTTTTATTGCTTCTTTTTTCATTCGTCGAGGTTGTACATGAGGTTTATTCTCAGTGGCTTTTTCGTTTAAATTGGTGTCTATGTAACACATTTTTTTACCCGCATGTGTCGTGTAGTATTTTCGGATATTATATTGTAACATCAACTGATAGTTTTTCGTAATTACGACGTCCTACTCACGTTATCCAATCAATTAGCATTCTTATTAGCATTCTTAAACCTCTCAGTCTTTATCGTTTTCAACTTATATCTTATAAACTTGCTGCAATTGATTTTTCTTCCTTTCCTTACTGAAGAGCACGGAAGGAGGAATATGCTTTTGCTCGGCTTCCGTCTAAGGGCACGTGCGAAACGGAAGCTGAGCTATCTCTTGCTTTCGACCCCCCTCAATAATTCTCATTTATTAGATTTTACAACATAGTTCATTAAATAATCTGTTTCAAAGATTTTATTATGGAGTTTTCACCTGTTGATCGCGTAGAATGATTAGTTGCCGCGATTAGCGCTTTGGTTCCTAGGAGAGTTTCTTTCTGTTTCTTTTTTTTCTTCGTTGTTTGAACTCGACTTGTAAACTATGAATGTTTTGGAAGTTGGAACAGCTTAGACGATAGGAATTCCTGAGGCGCATGCATAAATTGAAACAATAAAAACAAAAAAAGAAGCTCACCCAGGAAATGGAGTTGGTCTACCCCGACCTAAAAGGAAGTGAAACCTTCTTACCTCATATTCCAGATCTGCTTATGTGTAGAAAGTCGTAGTTTATCTGTTAGTAGCCCTTATTAAGAGTAAAGAAGGTCTTACAAGTTGAATTCCCTTATTCATCAGGCGAGCATTCACAATAGCGTTGGGGCGCGCGCTGCCATGCACCGACGATCGCCGCTGCTGTCGCGAACTATGAACGCTGCTAACTCACGCCAGCCTATGCTAGCGCAGCAGAGTACGCCAGAGAATATATGGATATCGATCTAGCGAACGCTAGTGTGTGCTGGTGTACAGCAGCGTACGCTAGGGACTGGAAAAGTATGGACCTCGATTTAGAACACGCCAGCATATGCCAGCGTACAGCAGCGTTTTCACGGGCAGCTTTTTCCAAGCCCAAATTGCCCGCGAACACACTCGCGTACGCTAGGCATACGCTAGATCAAGATCCATACCTTTCCTGGCCGCTGACGTTTGCTAGATCGATATCCATACACTCCAAGCTCTATCGGATATCAATATCTATACTTTCCTAGTCACTGGCACTGGCGTTCGTCGAAACGCTGCCGTGGACTGGCATGCGCTGACGCGAGGTATATACGCATCCTTGCCCTCTCGAGGGTTGGCTCAGCAGATCGAAGACGAACAAAGCCTCAGTAGGGCATCGACCACGTTCCCCTTTCCTTTCGAAATCAAAAGTGCAAAAAAAAACCAAGAAACCGGATCGTAATTTATTTGAACTCACTCTTTCCCACTGTGACATCTTCGCAATACATGAACTATTACACCTCCTCTCATATCACTGCAATAACCTCGAGATGAAGTTTGGAGATACTTGAAATTCCGATGAGTGTCGCACAATATCCAAATAGTAAATAGAAGAACAGCTGATGAACACATACAGGCACTCTTCTGGTATGCATATTCATTGGCGTTTTGTACAGATAAATGTGAACAATTTCGATTCAACAACACATAACAACTATATCTTTCACTTCAAGGAGATGATGTTTGTACTGCAGTATAATGCTTTTCAAGGTCTCTTCTTCACAGCCGCTGATGACGAATGACTTACTGCTGTCGTGGACTTTGCTGCTCCCGATGCGGATTTTACGGTACCCGACGCACTCTTCGACGACGAATGCTTCGCTTTCGATGCATTCAAGCTCTCCATATATTTTCGTTGATCCTCGGCTTAAGTAATGAAATCCTCAGATGAAAACGTATTTACATCTGACGTAAACGCAAAATATTTGGTATAATGCACAGGCAAAGCAAATACAACGAACTCACCAATTTTCTCATAACGACAACACCGGGGATAATCCACCGTAAGCAATCGGGGATGAAGTAATGTGGCTGAAATCGAATTCCATTACTAAGAATTGAAAATGTAAGAACTATTGCCTCACTAACCGACTTCATTAATTCCAAAATTAAGGATCAATTGTTCATAACTAGATGGATTTTGGAAATCCTTTCGTTCCTGCACCGAGATATTTACGTCTATTCCAGCAGCTTTCCGTTCAAAGTGTTTATAGAAGATTTGCTGAAGAAGGGCGCAGTGATATTCACAAAAAAAACAATTGCTATATGTACACGAGTTGACTGGCACATCATACGGGAACCTATACCTTTGACCCCAATTCTCTTCTAGCTCACTCTGACCTACCTGTCCCTAAAATAATATTTTTCGTTCAAAACAGAACAGGGAACGCTAGAAGAGTGCTGAGTTATGGACAAAAGTCAGACCCAGTAAGAACTTGGACCCATATCTCCCCCTTACCGTGCGGTTGTGTTATTCATTACGCTATCAAAGCCGCTAACACCTTTTCAGCTCAATGGCTTTTTGTGTCCGTCTGGGGTCTGACTTTTGCCCATAACTCAGCACTCTTTGATGACTTTCGGAAGCACACTGCGGCGCTGAACAGCACGAACCCTTCAGCCATGCGGTTCATTGCCGTTATCGACTAACCGGATCGTCATGTTAGATGTGTGAAGGGTGGAAGGCCAATGGCGCAAGAAACCAATTCAATCTCGAGTATGTATGAGCGCCCCGTATGCCGTAGTGGATAATGCAACCGCCCGGTAAGCAGGACTCAAGTCCCGCCTGAGACATGATTTGCCCATGACTCAGTTCCCCTGATGACCGTTGGAGCGCGCACGGTCTGGGTATTTGTTGCTTGCGTCAAATACAGCAGTTATGGAACTATTAGGTTGCTGCAAATTTTCCACCCGACTTTTTTTGTAAATAATTTCAAATAGCGAACCAGACCTAAATTTGTGGTATGCGACGTCAACCATTCACTACTCGACGGCAAGCTCAGGCAGCTTGTCGCAGGCGATCCCGTCTTCGTAGCAGATGCGCTGTGTGCCAGCTGGCGTGACACTGGGCGGGCGTAACAGTACTGTACGCCAGTTTTATTCAATGTCGAGGAGAGACTTCGTGGAAGATGCGTCTATATTCGAGCGGAGGGGGATACAGATTTTCAGATAGCTTCCCCTTCGTCACCATTCCCCAAGCAGGTCAAAAGTTACAAAGGGCCACGGGATAGCGACCTATGATGTTCTTCTGTTAATATATGTGAAAAGAATAGCGGTTTATGTGATAACTGTACATTACGGCGATTTGCGCCAAATAGTTTGTAGCTAGCTTATTTTGTGTGAGCACCTGCAGATAAGAGAGCTCATTCAATGATACCGCAAATGTACATAAACCGGACAAAAATTTTCGAGTCACGAAAGTCATGCCGGCAAACATGAGAAGCCCTCACGTCGCCGAGGAATGGTCAACCATCGACAGCGGAAACGGCTGGACCTTCTTCTCGGGAACGGCCACATGGTCCTGTAAGTTACTGTGGTTTTTTTACTACAGTTCTGCTCGACTCACTCCCTAGACCAGCGATTTGACGAGTGCCAGACTTTTATGATTTCGGCGAGAGGCGAAAGCGTGGCGGCTTGTATAGATAGCGGCAGTGTTGCCACGTCTCGGCCAAACAGGGAGAAACCGGGGAGGACCCTTCGGTTGGGAGTACTGAATGTAATACTCACTCTAATAAACTCCTGTGGGTTCATACATTTTATTGTAGTTTCAAGGGACCTCTATAGAGGGAACACTGTTATGCTTGGAAGAATTAGTTTACTAAGATTTTACTTGCTTCCCTTATTTTTTTTTACTTCGTAATGCGTTTGATCCCTTCATGCGTATGTGAATTACGCGAATTTGGAGAAACCATGGGACTACTTTATGCGTATGTAAATTAGAGGTTTTCGGTCGATGATATCGTTCCTTCCTCGAAAATGCCCACGAGGCTACTGCACAGGAAGAGTCTAGGAAGAGAGAGAGAGCGCGATTAGAGATGTCACACTTTAATATAATCACCAAAACTCAATAAGGTGCTACGTCCCCAACGAATAATGGAACTAGGTGCGAGGTTACTGTAGCTCCGCAAAGTTCGCAACGGCACACAGCCGCATCTGTACGAAAGAATGGCGCAGCTTGTCGATTCCATCGTCCCAGAAGGACGGGGGCTGGGACCCGAAGAAGGCCACAATGCCGCACAACTGTGACATGGTTTTGCACTGGTAATTGTGCGGCATTGTAGCCTGCAAATGCAGGGTGGGTGAGTGATAGCTAGTGTGGTGAAAGAGTATCATGTACACGTCACGCACACGTGATGACGAAATACCAACCTCCATGCAAACGAAATACGGAAGGATCAAAACAGGGGGAAGAACTTATGCAACAACCTAATAAAACTACTTGAAAACAACGGGGAACTTTTGGATTTGCTTTTCCCCCCAAGTGGTCGCAACTTTCCTGTTTTACGAACGATACACGCCTCCCCCTCCCCCCCCTTGCTCCCCGCTAGACATGCAACAAAGGAAAAGATTGCAACACACAGAACCTGCAACACCTAATACTTAGCGGAATAATGGTAGAAAATGATGACCATCTATTATCTAGTCTGTTCTTTGATGTAATCACTTGCTACTCATCAAAAATGTTCGTATGGCAAAAGCTACATGATTTGGTAGTGTGGAAGCTATACAGTCTTGAAGAAGAACGGCGCCCTACGTCAGCTCTACTAGTTCATATCACCTTCTGGCACCGATGAGTGATATCCCCGTCATATTCCAAAATCACTTGTTGAAACCAAGTCCCCACTAATACTCTAATGCGCGCTATGAATCAGGCAACATTGGCTTTTCAACGCCGTGTACGGCGCTCCATGAACCATCGACATTGTGATTATTGTACGATTTCTTGATTGAGCTCCGCACGATGTTGTCAAATCACCTTTATTTAAAGCAGTAGGACCGCGTCGGACTTTCCTCATTCCTCGAATACCGGTTTCGAAGATCGGACTGTTTGGCGGCTCTGAAGAAGGCGATCCCGCCGAAACGTAAGCCAATAAAGGTGATTTGACAAACCTGTGAAGCTCAATCAAGAAATCGTACTTAGCTTTTAATTCCCTTTATCAGATTTTCTCAGCTGCTAACATTTCTCCAGTAATGTTAGTGTCCCGTATCCTACGTTATATCTCGACATTGTTGATGAGTAACACGTGACCGCACAGTTGCTGGGACCGGCGCAATGAGTTTGATGACCGTCTATTTGTAACGCCTCCTAGTCATAACTTCATCAACTCTTGTCACTTCCTTTCACCCGCGAGTGGTGTTGTTTGCCTGCCCACATCACATCATAGAAAACGTTGCACCTTTGCTTGGACTAGCGCTATGAATTTCGTGACAAACAAACATACAGGCAGGCAGACAACCACACACATACTCGAACAGTCTGGTTTATGTATAGTGGGGAAAAGTAAGAAGCAAGACGACTTTAACATACCACTAATTCAGGATCACACTCCGCTGTCGGTGCTGGAGGTATACAGACGTCCTGATGGGGAGGCGTGTCCATAGGCTTAATATTACGTTTTCAAGGCTGCAGAAGAACACATATAGTGAAGTGCATACCTTAGTATCAGTATCGAGATCCATACCATGTAATGGGCTATCATAGGGACGCGGTGTCCATCCACCAGATCCCGTTGAAGCACCGTCCTCCACCTTAATGTTATAAAGTGTTGATCGTGAGATGAGACAATAAAACCACTTGAAGACACAAATCTGGGCAAAAGCAGTCAGCACACGTACATCATCACAATTACCTGTTTTAAAGCATTCCGTCCTTCTTCAAGAGCCATATCAATAAGGCGCTCGTTTTCATCATCAGTGTCACTCTTCTGGAAACTTTCGCTGAATTGAGAATCACAACGTGAGTTAAATCCCACTTTACGTGACTGAAATGATCGTCATATCCACAGCCCAATACGAACCCCTTCTTTATAGGTCAACAATCAGCGTGTAGTTCAGCAAATCACAAAAAAGGACTACTATAAGGCTGCGTTCATATTTTGTGGCAGCGTCCACCAGCGTCCAAGGGCGTGTGCAACCGCATCGCACCAGCACGCAATACCGCACATTAAAGTGCATAATTCTGTGCTTTAGCAGTTGCATGGTGCGGTTGCACCCATTATAATTTCACGACGCCTAATCTAGCGGTCTACTCCCTCCTATTTTCCATACTCTCCACACTTGGACGCTGATGGACGCTGCCACATGATAGATCGATATCTATAGTTTTCGGTCGCTGGCGGACGCTCAAAATGCTGTTGGACGCAGCTGCAAAATATGCACTCAGCCTTACCTGGAAAGAAATTTCGGATGCCCAAACAACAACCCAAAACTTATGTGAACTTATAAACAGAATAACCTAGATTTGATGCCTTTCGCTGAAAGCAGTATCTCGAAAAGATAGGCTAGGGAAACATTACAAACAATGAAATCAAATAACGTATAGTTTGTATGAAATTTGTAGTGATGACATTGGTGGTGTGGTTAAAATATGTCAAGTACCTGACTAACTCGTTCTGGAGGGCGAGGTTCAACCATTCCCGAAGGGGGAGAAGAAGGGCTTTGAGCATCCTCCGCGTCACGGTCAGCTGAAGTGGATAAAAGCTAAGAATCAAAAGGCTCACGGAATAGACGTAACCAAAGGTTACCTCGTTCGAAGGCATCTTCTTTGTCTTCTTCCGCACCTCCGTATGAAACTAGTGACATGGAGGAAGACACCTGAAGGTAATATATGGAATAGCGTGGTCGAAAAATAATATTTTTAGAAGCAGTGCCAGGTTAAGGTAAATTAAGCCTCCAAAAAAAGATGCATCAAAAGAAAAGCCTCGCCTTTAGAATGGGAATATTTTATGCAAAACAGGGTCAGGCAGAACTATGCTAGGTTAGAGCCACTCGAATCCAAGATAAAACGAAATCACGCGATGTCAGGTTTTCACTTTTAGGTTTTCTCCAATAGCTGCTCCTTCTAAATTCCTAGTCAATGTTGACTTTCATGAAGGTGAGCATTTATCTTATGCATGACCCTGCTACAAATAGCCCTGCACTCGAAAAAAATACACGATACCCACCGAAGAACTTTTAGCTCTTAAAAACCTTGCAAAGTTGTAAAATAGATCAATGGAAGCAAATGGAACTCAAAAGCTCAGGAAAAAAAAATCAAGAAAACTGCCATGTACTTGATGCATTTTTGAAGAAGGCGTAGGGCAAAGAAGGTGAAGGTGAGTGAAATTCCTTCCGTTTCGGTGGTGGCGGTTCACGAAACTCTGTAGTTTCGCTACGATCACTAGTGTCGCTGAATGACGCGTATCGACGCGGTTCGCCAAACATCATGTCATCTAAAATCCAGCTTGAGAATATTTTCAAGAATGAAATGAAAAACACTTTGGGGATCAGGACTACGAAAAGTGTGACTAAAAAAGAGAAACAGTTCTAGAAACCAGTATTTGCCAATGATCGCGGCATTACCGTAACAGAGCGGAGTAACGCCTCCCGAGATTAAATGAGTTCATCTCCCTCCCTTTAGAGGGGAGTGAGCTCACCATGAAAATTAGTGCTGATTAAATTGATTTAGTTTTGGCGGTAAAACGAATAAAAACTTATTCAAACCATTGTGCTGAATATAATATACAGTTAACAACTGTAATGGAAAAGTAAAGAGCATTGGTTAGGGACGAGATGCAGCACAAAGTGCCGAATTTCGTCCCTAACCAATGCTCCCCTACTTTTCCATTACAGTTGTTAACTGTATATTATATTCAACAATCCATTCACGGCCCAACACCAGGTAAGCCCAAAGTGAGAGTCTTAGGTCAGATGACTCATCACTAGGTGAAGGGGTATAAACCAAAAAAATCATTAGGTAGGTAAATCATTCATTAGGTAAATCATTCGGTATCAAATCAACTTGCTCGACTAGAAACACGCCTCAGGTCTCCAACACTGTCCCACTTTCGCGCCTCACACGGAACAACGAAGGGCTGCTGCCCTCATAAGTGGCCTTTCTGAGGCTTCCCTAGTTGTTAGATACCATTAGCGTTGGATGACGCGAAGAAACAAGAGTGAGCCAGAGGCGGCAGGGCATTGCTTTGCTGGTATAAAATGAGCAGGTCCGAAAAACTTGTCCAGAGAAGCTGCCAAGGCCTGACTTAGAGTGCTCTCCAAATTTTTTTTTGCTTTTTTTCCCTTGAGAGTCATTTAGCGACTACAGGTTTCTAACAGAAGAACACAGCGATATGCAATCGCGGGTTTTGCCTTTGAAGAAACCAGATGGAAAGAGATGTGAGAAAGAACCGGCGAGTTGGTCCATTTATGGAGAACGTCACTGTTAAGGATAATAGGAAAGCAATAAAGAACAACCAATGAGCACGTGACCAGTAAAAGATGCACTTGTGGAGAGAAGCTAGATGTAAAGAAAAAGGCACATATAAATGGGGAGAGAGGTGATGTAATCGAGGGTTCAAATGGGCACGAAAAGTCAACTCAAGGATGGCGGTTTTAACTATATTGTTTTTCGTGACAACGAAAACCCTCGGCATTTCTTGCTACGATATATGCAGTAAAGAATGAGCGTCATTAAGTACCCGAGTAAAAAAAAACTCAAAATGCCGAACCATCAAACACGTCGGAATCTCTTCTTTGCGGCGGCGAATGATCAGAATCCGTTTGTTGGGCTTTCGGCGATTCATGGGCTCTCGGTGATTCCTCTTCATTTGCATATGAAATTGTTGGGGCAGGCACTTCACCTAAGCCATTACCTCAAGAAACATGTGATGCAACTCTGTGATCGAAATAAATATGCGAATATGCATGAAATAGACGCCAAAACTACATCGCACATACTTCGGTCCATGTTGAACGATCGCCGCCGAGGCGACTCCTCGTCGCTTTCATCACCGTAGTCTGCCAGAGTATTCATCCTAAAAACAGAAATTTCTGTTGAGAAGAATTTCCAGTTACTGGACTAGATCAAGAGCCGCAATGAAACGAAAGATTGAACTGGAAATGAATCTGAAACGAAGAGGCGAAAAAGGAAACTTGTCGGAACATTCAACAATATCAGCATTAAATCCAGAAGCAAGACTTGGTATGAAAGACAAGTTTCGGCATACACGTCTTCTTACATATGACGGAAACTAACTTCCCTCTAGAATACACCTGCCCAATGACAAGCTGCAAGCCAGAAAAGAAATAAATACATTTGCGTTCCAATTACAGGTCATGATTCCGTCTAGAGTTCTTCACGAACAATTAAAAAGGTAAGGTCAAACGAAAACGGTTACGGGGCAGATGTCAACCAGACGATCTCTCGCTGCGAGGGTCCAGGGCTAATTTCACGGGGCATCTACCAGTCCAGCAGTTGAAGGGGAAGGTAAAGGAGGAGGGATCAGAGAAGGAAGGAAGAAGAAGGAAGGAGGGAGAAAAAGGAAGGAAGTGAGAAGCTTCCGGCTCACATGTGCCCTGAAACGAACGAAAACGCGGGCAGAACCCTGGCGTAAGGTTAATAACATTGTCCGAGTGCGCACTCAAAGCAGCGGATATTACGGCGTACGCACGTCGCGTGGTGACCAGCCACATCATGGTCGGGGTACATCGTTGTTGGAGAATCCCCAGCACGGGGGGGGTCAGATTTGGCCGCCAGGAGAGAGGGGGATCGTATTTGGGAAAAATTTATTTTGATAGGGGTTTTCTCGCTTCACGGACGTTGCAAAAGGGAAGGGGGTGGGAGGGTCGCACCTGCTCATTGTTGGGAGGGGGAGGGGTCGTATTTACTTTCTGGCTTTTCTAGGAGTGGTGGGAGTGGTGGTTGACTTTTCGTGATTTTCCTGTTTCATGCGCACGTACTATATACCCCCCCCCCCGCTCGACAGCAAAATTTTTGGGAGAAAGTAGAGGAGTAGAGGGTTTCCGGGAAATTTTGATTTTGGAGAAAGTGGCAGGAAGTTAGGGAAAATGAGAATCGGTAGAAGGGGAGATTGCATTTTCTTCTTCGCGGCGCGGCTTTTCCTGTTTTACATGTGCTATCTACCAATGATGTTTTCCTGATCATGGTTGGGGATTCGCAGCAGGATGGATTGTATTTGGTATGACAAAATTCTTTTTTGATAGTTGACTTTTCTTGTTTCGCAACGCTATAGGGAAGAGGGTCGTACGTGTCCCTTGTCAGGAAAGGAGGGGGTTTGTTCGCCTCGCAGTAATTTGCGGCGCTTATCTTTATCTATATCTGAGGACGCGAACAAGGTTCGCGCTTATGTGAAAAAAAATAACAGCAACAACTGAAAGGCGTAAATGAAACAAAACGAATCCGAGAGAAGTAAAAAAACATTCGAAAGAGAGCATAAATAAAACTAATAACTGCGACCCATAAGAAATGAAGAGAAAGCACTGAATTATGAGTGATGAACATAAGCTCTAATTAATTCAAGAAGTTTCCTGTAATTTGAGAAACCCCTGAATTAGATTGAAGAGCGGCCAACCTTTTGAACGCAGAGAGCGACTTTTTAAGAACATCCAGCCTAAGGAGTTTATTAAAGTCCGCGAGCACTCTGTTTGAAAACATGTGGAACCTGACTTGTGTCCTGGCTACTGAAGGCTTTAGTTTGAGACTACCTCCCCTTGTGTTGGAGGGGAAAGTTTAAAGAAGTCAGATGAGATAAGACCACTCCTACCACTGAGGATCCTAAAAGCCGATCAGATCAAATTTTGTAGGCAGACCAACCTGCATTCTCCTTTCTGCGCCCCCGGGAATGAGCCTATAAGTAAGACCACTGCAGCGCAAAACAAGCTTTCGCGTGAAATTGTTCTGGACACTCTCCATTAATTCTTTATCCTTCTTTTTATATGGGGAAAAACCGTGGTCCCATTTTCTACGATAGGGCGCACATAAGTTTTGTATGTATGTTGTTGTGCATATGTTTGTATGCACGAAGGAGCGTATTGAAATTTTTCGTGCGGAGAGCTTTGAAGAGATTGTATATCCTAAAATTAGCATTCCTTACAATTTTCTTAATATGGTTTCCAAATGATAACGTATCATTTATCACAAAACCTAAGTCTCTAATTTCACTAACACTTTGAGAGGAACCCCATTAATAGTGTAAGTATAAGATGTGGAGCTCCTACCCCGGGTCAACCGCAAAACAACGGTGTTTGGCGTTGGGGAGAATTTTCCCCAGTTGTTGTCTTTTTGGAAAAAAAAGGAAAACCGCGGGGAAAAATGGAGAGAGAGGTTCGGAAAATCTAGGAAGTGGTAGACAGGATGGGGGGGTCTTATTTTTCGCAAATTTCCCCCAGCGGCAAGAGGTGCCCTTGAGAAAAGAACAAAGCAAAACCGTAACGTGCCCTTAAAAAACCGTTAAAAGGGAAGATGAGGTCGCATCAATGCACCTTTCAAGGTGGTACGGACTCGACAAAAATCTCCAACTCATGATGTGCCCTGGTGGGCGGATTTCGTTCTCATATTTTGTGCACATCGTCGTTGAAGATTTTGATCAAGAGGTTCATAAAGAGTGCGGGCAGGCTCGTATTGTAGAAACTCCAACACATGATAGGGTCTCGTTCGTCACTCGGAACAAATAAATCAGGCAAAGTTTGTTCCGAGTGACGAACGAGACCCTAGCATGCAAGCAAGGCTATGCTCTATGCTGCTGATTTGCACCATTTTTGACGGGGATTCTTCGAAGCGGGCAGAGGCTCTCACAGTGGGCGGGGCTTCATGTAGCAGTCCAAAAATGCATCATCTTGAAAAAAATCCAACATTCCGCGAAAAAGCAAGGGGCATGGCCATGTGGGTGAAGCCCAAATTGCCAGTGCATAAATGCGCGTCTACGAGTACCTTCGTTGTGCGAAGAGTGGATGTGAAATTAAAAGTTGAAAAAGTTATGAAAATTCGAAGTTCGCAACAAACCCTCAAAGAATGGGCGGAGTCGGCCATGTGTCGATGTCCAGTCGTTTTCAGTCAAAGTGTATGTGGGAAACAGCAAAAGACAAGAAAAGTCACAGAAGCAGAAGTTATGAAACAAGATTTGAAAATCTATGTCCGCGCTGACAAGTAGGCGTGGCCGTCGGGGCGGGGCTCGCAGTGGTGTCTGGCGTGATCTGGTTGATGAATTGCCCGGTCTAAAAAGTGTGGTGAATTTGATTTGAAAGTGGTGAATTTGGTTTGAGATGTGGTGAATTTGTTTCAAAATGTGGTAAATTCAAAGTAAAAATGCTATAAACAAGCCAAGTCCCCCCTCTAGTCTGAACACCTTATATGTTTGCAAAACGAATATTAAGTGGAAATTCTGATGAACGTGTGAATGGAATCTCTTGTGCAAAACCATAGCGTGACTGGACCACGTCCTTTCCTTCGAAAGTTGAAGTGCTTCTGAGGTGCGTCGGAGGTACACAAGTGTACCCGTTGGACTAGACACGCCTAGCGTAGTTCATTTTCCTGCTCCTCGGAACCAGGGCACGCCGCCATCTTTGTGATCATCACAACGGGGGGGGGTCGTATTTGCCCGCGATGGAGGGGGGTCGTAAACGCATGGCCCATGTTGAAGTGGAGAGAGCGGTGATACACGGTACAAGTGAAAAGAAGCTCAAAAGGGACGATGTAGATGACAATAAATAGAACTAGGCACTATCGAACTATTCCTAGGCCAAGAACTAAAAAATATTGCTGAAACTTTTTCCTCCTTCCTCACAAAAAACTTCAAGACACTTCGCCCACCAACCCTCCTCATCTGGTCTAGATAAATCCCAATCCACTAATCCGCAAAATCTAGAAAAGAATCCATTGCAAAAGCTACCTATGAAACCGTAGAAATTGAATCCTGAGCAATTTCCTCACAACAAAATCAAACTCAACAAAACAAAATCAAACTCAACAAAAACAAACAATCAAAGTAATTCACAATAAAATGGATAAGAAAAAACTCACCAGCCAGCTGGGAACCGGAACTATGGATTACTTTTGAATTTTGGCTGTTCGCGGTCAGCGCGCTCATACAAGCTCATTGGTGCGCGCTATTTTACGGCCTGGAGCCAATTTCAAGCCAAACACGTGAAAAGTACCCCTCATTTGAACACCCATAACTTCGTTGAAAGTGAAGCTATCGGAGAGGGGTAAGTGGGAATGAGTAGAGCTAGGTTGGCTCTTGTCACCTGAATTGAGCGATTTCAAAAACGTTCCGATTCCAGAGATTTTCCCCGTTGTGATCCGTCTGTGATCATTTTTGCGAACCGCGAGTCGCTACGCTTTGGACGTCCATGGCAAGCTTCATACACGGCCTTTCGTAAAAAAGAATTGTGCCGGAAGCTTGAAGATTTCTACTTTCCAGCAAGGCTTTAATTTTCTTCCTAGGCCTGCTATTCGAAAAAATTCCCCGTTGTGATCATTTCGTGACCACCCCCCGACACGAAAAATCAGCCCCTCCGAGGCCATGAAACCTCCAGTTGGCTTGAAGACTTTGGTATGCTTCTATTAGGTTGTCCGGAAAGTTCTGCAGGTTTCGAGTGTTTCACTTTAAACGATCATAACTTTCTTAACACTCATCGGATTTAATCCAAATAAGCACCATTCGAATCAGCACACTTTTGCCAATGTGAGCAGTCGAGAAATCCCATCAAAGAAAAAACTGGGTGGTCGAGAGTTCACGAAATCCACGAAGGCTTTTTTGCCTGGTCCTGATTGATGAAGTATTTTCCAGCAAGGGAGTTCTGAAAATGTTTGAAAAGGTGATAGTCGGTTGGCGAAAGGTCTGAAGAATATGGCGGTTGAGGTAGAACTTCAACCCCAATTCGTTCAATTTATGGATAGTGATTTGTGAAACGTGTGGGCGGGCGTTGTCATGCAAAAGAATCGGACCCTTTCTGTTGACAAGTGCTGGCTGCAGCTGACGCAATTTTCGGTACATTTCGTCGATTTCTTCACAG